GCGCATGATTGAGCGGAGCTGGAGGGGAAGGGGAGACACTGCAGGTGCGGGGTGTCAGACCGGGGAGCATCTAATGCTGCTGACAGCACTGCATGCAGACTGTGTAGTACAACTATACATACAGCCTCTCTAGTACAGTGCTGTATATTGGCACAGTCTCGTACACGTACTAGTAGCTTTGTTGGGGTCTCCTGCCACTCAACTCCAGCCCAGACCGCATTAAACAAGGAGCAGCAGCAGCAGCAGCAAATGGGGTTGGGGCCACTGGGTCTTGGGCGAGCCCAGTGCCCTGCAGCTTGCATTTCCCGGTGGGACCACTGGGTGATAGATCGGGGTTCAAAATTTCGGCGAAATTTCGGCTGAATTTTACAAAATTCGGTAATTTTGGTGGTGGCCGAAAGAAAACTCCGAAATTTTTTAATACACTAATACATGTGCTATATAACTCTAATCTTATATTTTTCTATTATTTATATTGCATATTCTTCTATTTAATAAATATGTAGTCATAAATCATACTAATATTTGTTTAGATCCAAAAGATTTTAGAAAAAACATACTTCATGTGCTAATCTCTAAAAAAATTCGGCGAAATTTCTGCCGAATTTCGTGAAATTCGGTGGTGGCCGAAATTTTGGCGATATCGAAATTAAAAACCTTGTGATAGATACAGTGCGACGAGCGAGAGGACTCGCTCAGGCTCACACACGGCTGGTGTCAAATGCTGTGTTGCACGTTGCACCCATCTCCGTTCCTTCCTTCCGTGGTCAGCAGAAGACGAGACGAGTGAAAAGCGAGCAGTGAAGTAAACTAGTAATGATTAACGAACGGGGATCCACACTTGTGGGATCCATCATTTCTCGTGCACTGGTACAGAGTTACTGCACGTATGTGCGCTCGGTCCGGTGGCGGTCCCCTTGCACAAACAGTCAAATGCCAGCCGGACAAAGCAGAGCACCCTGCATGGCCTGCCTCTCACTGACTCTGAGCGTCAAGTTAAACAATGGATTACGCCTATATAAAATCCTAGCAACTTGCAACCCAAACCCAACGTAAAATGAATAATCCAGCTCCATTTTGGGATATAAAGTCCATTCCTACATCATGGATTCACGGTTATATCTCTCTCCCGGCCCACGTCCAAAACGAAACCCCGAAACAGAAAAATCTCGTGCTTTGCGCTTTACTAAAGATTGTTGGCTACAGATGTTACTATCGTTACGATCTGTATGGCTGCATATCTAGCTCTTAGAACTAAAAACTTAACTTCACACCATTAATCGTTTGCTGGGAAGAATAATATAAGGGCCTGTTTGGATCGGAGGAAATCCAAAGGAATTATAGAGGAATCCAATCCTATGGAAATGTTTTGCATTTTTGTGTTTGGAATGAAGGAAACTTCAACAGTAAAACAAAGAAAAGTTTCCTACCTCCATTCATTTCACGGGAAACAAAACATCCGTCCAAACCAATGGATTCACGAAGACCAAGACAGCAAGAGAAGAGAAACAAAAAATAATGTTACTTCCGGCGTTTTTCCCGTGTTATGGATTCCTACGTTCCAAACACCTCTTCTAGTTATTGTCCGCATTTTTCTTTTCCTCTATTTTACCACTACATACTCACTCCATTCCTACGTTTTTTCCTATTCCTGTGTTTTTATTCCTGCGTTTCAATCGTACAGGCCTTAAGTATGGACTATTACTTGGTTCACGTAGGTGTGGCTTACTTGATCTACGTTTGGAACCCATCTCAAAAAAAGAACTGGAATCTCGCGTTGTCACTTTACTATTGCAGCAGAATGCATCAAAATTTGTTTGGCATAATAGCTCTTTTGCCGGCGCTTCGGAGACGGAATGCAAAAAAAAAAAGGAGCTCGGGCTTGGTGTTTAGGCGGCCAGAAACGCTCCTCGGCAGAGGCGATAAAGAAGTTGATGCCAGAGATTCATCAAATGGGCCCTAAAAGAGCACGGATGATCTGAATTCTGAACTAATTACTGGTTGTGGGAAACCAGCCCAAACCCAACCGATACGTAGCTTTGAGGGCGTCTAGAGTGTTGCCGGCCTGGGACTCTGATGTCAACTGAGCGAATTGGCGCACGCACACACTTTTGTTGACTCGTCCTGCTAGGCCCAACGGCGACGGCCCGTCAACAAACCCAGCCCAACCTTTTACCGCGTTCGGCTCTGCTTTTGTTATACTGCATGCACGTACAGTACGCTAGGGACGGTACTTTTTTTTACCCCGCGTCTTGTCCATCTGGATCCTCTGTACCGCCACCACCCCGTGGTCAACCTCAGTACCAGCTTTTCTCTCTCTATCTCCGGCCTCTGGAATCTTTTTACTGTAGTACTATTTTTATCTTATCATCCTGCAACGAAAGTTGGGCAAAGAACCAAAACATCCGCGTCCCCCCTCTACCATTCAGGCCTTCTGTCTTCCTTAATATTTACTTCATATCACATTAGATATTTGACACATGCATAGATATTAAATATAGACTAAAAAATAACTAATTACATAGATTGTGTTTAATTTGTGAGATGAATTTTTAAATCTAATTAATACATGATTTGATAATGTGGTGCTATCATAAACATGTGTTAATAACAAATTAATTAGACTTAGTATGTGACATTCCTAAACGTTAGATTTAAACACCAGCTCACTCTCTCTCGTGCATTCCAAATCCCAGGGTGAAATGACATCCGACGCCCGTCGGTCTCGCTCTCGCCGCGACCCGGTGTAGACGCTGATGCACGTGACCTTGACCGCGGTCTGCGCCGGACGGGTAAAGTGGCGGCCTGCTGCGCCTGCATGCAATGAAACTCGGGTCGCGTCGTGTAGGAGGTATACATGCGCAAGCCAAAGCGACGAAGTGACTGTGGCTGCTGCGCTGGAGCTCCGTGACAAGGTTGCAGGAGGAGGCTCTTGTCCTTGTTTTGGAGACTGACAGACAGACAGACCGAGACGAGACCATTCCATGCGTTTCCACGTCGCATTCTTCCGGCCCATACTCCTGCTACTCCTAGGCCTAGGACGCCTGTCGCCGAAGGAGTGGCATGCCAGCTAGCATGGGGGAGGAGGAGGAGGAGGAGATGCGGTCTATGATTGGTCGCACTGGCGTGGGGGCGAGGCCCATCCGTCGTGGTGGCCTGGCCGTCAGCCGCCGAGCCTGCTGGGCCCAATGGAGATGCGGGCCTACGGCCTACGGGACCGCGAGAACGTGCGCTGGAGTCACGGACCTGCTTGGGCCGGGCGCCCACTGCTAGGGGTGCACGTGGACCTGGACCTGGACCTGGACCTGGCGGGGCCTGTTTGAAATGAAGTATTTTCAAAGGAATTTCTCACAGGATTGCCAATCCTGTATTTTTGCTGAACGATGCATTGGAAGTTCCCGTTCCTCAGGAAAGCTTTCCTTTGCTCAACTCACAGGAATTTTTACACTCACTTCTAGCCAAAGTTTTCGTGGAAGTCCGAGGCGCTCTCGCGCGCGTTAGAGAGAGAGAGAGAGAGAGAGCTCACGGAGCGCGGAGTGATGTTTGCCCGGCCACGTAGCTCCTGCGGTGTCGCCCCGCTCTAGGCCTCGCCGGAGGCCGCGGCCCACTCGTGCAGCTCCAGGCCTCGCGGGCACCTGGCCCGCCCAGACGCTTCGCCGCGCCTCGTACCCCGCTGCGCCGCTCCGTCGATCCCGTTGCCTCGCCGGCGCGTGGCACGTCCGCCCCTGGAGCAGCCGTGCTCGGCTTTTTGTTTCTGGGAAAGGATAAGGAGAGAGAGGTTGCCAGGTTTTTATTTGTGGCTCCACCGGTATATATCTATAATACAGTGTCCATGGATCAGCAGGCCACGTGTAAAATAGTCACGAACAAAATGTGCTACTAATATATTATCGTTAAGCAGTAATAATAACACTTATATTCACATATTTTATGATTCCGCTGTTACGAATTTCTACGTTACAAACACCTCTACCTAGTCATTTCCTGCGTTTTTTCTTTCTTCACACACCCATATATAACAAACACACTTGGAGAATCCCATAAATAAGTTCAGGGCAAATAAGTGGAAAATTATGTATGTTAACCATACGTAATTCATGGGAGTAATGGTCATATTTGCAAACTTTAATTAGCAAAAAATGTAGTAAATTGCATGGGTCATTATCCATTAATTTAGAAACAAATATGAAGTCACTAATAAATATAATTATCTCATATCAAAGTCATATTAATGTGGCGGAAAATTGTGCCAAAGTTGGGAATTATGAGCATTTAAAAAGTCGTTTGAAAATCGGCTCTCTCACGACGACAAGGTGAGCGGCAAGCCGGCAAGCGTTAGGTGAGCGCATCTCGTACTGTGTGGTGCAGACCTGCTAATCATCTGTAACATGGGAGTAATGGTCATATTTGCAAACTTTAATTGTTGAATGACCATTGTGAGAGAAAAACACTATTCCTTCACTTAAAAGGTACACCTCATAAGACAAGCGAACAGGCAAATGTCCAAAATCTTTGAATAATAATCATCCTCACACAGACTCATCGCTTGCAGAACTCATCTGCACAAACACACTTGGAGAATCCCATAAATAAGTTCAGGGCAAATAAGTGGAAAATAGTAGCTCCCACAAATCACACACTGCACAATAAATGGAGCCAGTAGGAATAGTATCTCGCACACATATATAACAAACAAAAAGAGAAAGAGTTCGAATAGTTGCTACATAGATAGGATACAATGACAATTCTTCGTTGCCCAACTACTTTTTCCTTTCTTCATAGCATCTCTTGAGCCAATTAAACCTTCTTTCGTTCGTCTCAAATGTCAAAAAAAAATTCACGATTTGCAGTATACTTGAACAGTTGGGTTGCAATGTAATGCTCATCACTTCCTTCAACAGCTCCACATTCTTTAACCATGGCCATGGCCTCTTTAACTGAGTCACGAGTGAAGTTGAAGTCACGGATCAATGCTTTGGAGGTCACAGAGTTGGTACTAATCACATCATCCACCGTAGGGTCTTCCCTTTCTTGTATGGGCTACTAGATTTTCCCTTCCTCTTGTTGCGGTTTGACGAAGGAGTAAATTGATCCGGCTCAATTTCATCTAAAGGCTCACCGGGTTTAGTGGGTTGGCTCTCTCCAATAGCATCAGGAGTAAACTGATCCGGCTCAATTTCCTCTAAAGGCTGACTGGGTTCAGTGTGTTGCTCTCCAATAGCATCTTCACCGGAAATGCATGCATTTGGAGTAAATTGATCCGGCTCAATTTCCTCTAAAGGCTCACCGGGTTCAGTGGGTTGGCTCTCTCCAATAGCATCAGGAGTAAACTGATCCGGCTCAATTTCCTCTAAAGGCTCACTGGGTTCAGTGTGTTGCTCTCCAATAGCATCTTCACCGGAAATGCATGCATTTGGAGTAAATTGATCCGGCTCAATTTCCTCTAAAGGCTCACTGGGTTCAGTGGGTTGGCTCTCTCCAATAGCATCTTCACCGGGAATGCATGCAGAGAGCCCTGAGACAGGGCTCTTCTCAAACATGAATTCCATTTCTTTCAAGCAATGTGGAGGGCCATATTGACATAACTTCTTCTCCCTGCGCGCATGTCCCCCTTGCACAAACAGCATAAAAAAGACAATTACATTGGGCATTTGCATACATAAAAAAAGAATGGCAACAAACATAGAGATGACAGATTCCTAACCTTTGTGTTTTTCTCCCACCATTCCGGGGTAGCCGTGACTGTCCCCAAATCTGGATCCCTCCCAAGGCTAGTATCGGTCCACAACGATTTCCAAAAGGTATAAAAGGCCTTGAGGTTATACCAACGATTACTCAGTTGTCAGGGTATACTGTTTCCCTGTTTGAGCCAAAAATTTTCCGCCCAATTCCTATAACCTCTAGCACTCAGGCTCATGGTACTTAGAGGTCTATTTCCATCTCTGATTTCTTCAACACAAATGTTACAAAAAATTGTAGTCATCTTAGGATTCTCCCATTCTGCTTTGCAAGTTTGCATACAACCTCATCCTTTTCCTTTTTTCTTGCCCTTTCCTTTACGGGATTTTTTCTCGTTCCTGTATTTTTTCTTGTAAAAAATGAACTGATTCCTAGTAAAATTCCTAAGTTCCAAAGGGGCACTGAACATGCAGTTTTGTTCATTCCCTATCCATCTAAACAAATTGCAATGCCCGTAAAAAAACAAGAAAACAACATTTTACTTTCAGTGCAGATCCTTCCGAGGGGGAGATGGACGGGGACCGCGACCTTCGGGCAGATTCGGAGCAGGGGGCCAGAACCGGGACCTTCACTGCAGATTCCGAGCAGGGGCGGCCAGCGGAGAAGGCGAGCCGGCAGTGCTGGTCGCCGGTCTTGGGGGTGAGCTGCGGCCGAACTAGGGGCGAGCAGGGGGCGCTGGTGCTCGGCTCGGCGGGGGAGGCCGGCGGCGCTACTAGGGTTAACACTCGTGAAACCGCTGCTGCTGATGGGTTGCTCGGCCGACCGCGCCGCGCCGGCCAAGCTCGCGGACATGGGAAGCACCCAGAACCCGCCGGATGGGGCCGCGGCGTTGGGTGCCACGGCCATCTTGGCGGACATGTGGTGCTGCGCGGGCGGGCGTCTGGTAGTAGTGGTGCGGGTGGAGCGCCGCCGCCGGGAACGGCGCGGCGCGGGCGGCGGGGTTGGCGGCGCCGGAGCGGATGGAGATGTTGAGCGAGTAGTGGGCCGGGATGGTGCTGGTGGCCGCCCGGATGGCCGGCTCCGCCTGCTGCAGCAGCACTCGATGGTCTTGACGTCGGATATGTGGCCGAGCTCGCGGGTGAGCTGGAACACCTGCGCCGCGCACAGCGGCGGGCATCCGAAGCCGCCGACCCCGCCCATCCACCTTGATGTCCCGGTCCTTGGACGGCCGCTTGGCCACGACGGGCTCCACGTCGTCCCCGAGGCCGCCGCTCGCGCCGCCGGCGGCAACAGCTGCCCCGCCGCTGTTGCTGCTCGACGGCGCCCCGCCCCCTCCTCCCCCACGGCCGTGGTCCATGCTCCCGAGACGCCTCCCGGGCTCGTCAGTCGTCACACAAAGGAAGCACCGAAGTACCTTGTTGGGTGGGAGACAAGGAAGGCAAGTTGGCGGGAGTGGCAGGAATGCAGGATGAGTCTCGGTGACGTCACGGAACGCCCCTTCGCGTCGCGGGCGGCAATCCTGCTGACTGGTGGTATATAAGGCCAAACGACGCCCAGCACGGCGCTGGCACGGGCACGGCCACCGTGCCTGTTAGCGTTGTCGTGTCGACTCAGCGGCCTAGGCACAGCATTATTATGGTTTAGACGTGCCGTGTCATGTCACTGGGCACGGCAGCCCATAGTGCTCATGCCAGCACTGGCACTAAAAGTGTCAAACATCTCAGGAACTTCAGAATTTTAACGGAAACTTGTACAATACATTAAACTTTAAAAGATCACACTTTGACAGCAGAGATATAAGTTCAAACTTTAACAGAAACTTCAGAAGATCACAAACACAGAAATAGACCAGAGAGAACAAAATAAAATTTTATTGAAGCTTTAGTGAAATGGCTGACTCATTAAAAACCTATCTAGGTAAAATTTATCCTTGTGAGAAAACCTAGACAGGAAAAAAGAGTACAGCCCAGCTCCTTTTAAGTTCATTGTCCTTAAATCAAAGTTCATAAGTCCAGCATATTATAGTCCAGTACATAAATGATAATTAAGACAACTAATCAAGATAAAGTTCTTCAAATGCTTCTTCAAGCTCCTGGTCTTCCACATTGTGCTGCATCCTTGCCTCTGCTGCCTCCTAGTCTTTGATGCAGGTGAGCATCTCCACCATCTCAGCCTTCAGCCTCCTCCGCCGCTCCTCGATTATCCTGCCAGTCATACTAAAAGTAGACTCTGAAGATATGGTAGAAACAGGAACAATTAAAATATCTTTAGCCATGATTGACAGAACTGGATAAGTGAGTTTGTGCTCATGCCACCAGTTCAACAGGTTAAAATCATCATCTAACTGGCTAACAGTGTCACAGTTCAAGTAGAAAAACAGTTCAGAAGTATTATTATTAGAAGAACTTGCAGCATGCAGCAGAGCAATTGCAGAGGTATGTCTAAACAGAGTAAGAGTACCAGATAGAGGATGGATACCACCTGTAGAATAATCACCTTCATCATCATCATAAATCTCATCCCAAGCAGACATTTTCTTACCAGACAAGTTAGGAGGGACAGTCCTCCTCAACCTAACAGATTCAAATTTCTCCTCATACTTATTGTAAACATCAGTTAGTCGAGCTCTAGTGGCAAGCTGGTAAGTTTCATATGATGTACTGGTAAGGCTACCCAACCTCCTCAGTAATCTGTTGAAACCTTTCATTTTAGCTCTAGGATCCAAGATGAATGCAAAAGAATATAGTAAAGGAATATCCCTCCAGTATTTATTATATGTATCTATCATTGGTTGAATCACATGTCTGAGGTGAGTGTCATTACCATAGTTTTTTAGGTGTATAGTAATCTTAACTAGATAATGAATCATAAGTGCAGACGTAGGATAGTACACATCAGATAAAAGCAACAGTAGCATCATAAAATAGTTCAAGAAATTTAAATACTTTTTGTCCAACAGCTCAATGTTCATCAGTTAAAAGCAACTGACCACCTTCACCGCTAGGATAGTGAGCATGCATGAAAGTAGTGAAAGGAATCTGGCGAGGAAACAAATGCTTGAGCATTAGATATGTAGAATTCTACCTTACCTCCATGTCCAGCTGAAATTTCCTAGGTCTAACACCAGTGGTAATACAGTAACTTTTGTATGCAGCAATTCTCTGGTTAGATGAGTTTAGAAATGATATTGCAGTTCTAAATGTTTCAATCAAAGGCTGAAGAGCATTAAGGGCCTCCTTAACAATTAGATTTATGATATGACATGCACAAGCGCTAATGCATGAACAAAGTACTAACTACATTATCAGTTTCATTTCTATCATTTCTATCATTATTAGGGGGTACTTCAATACCAAGATGCGAATCAAAGAGGGGACCTACAGGAGGGGAGCACATCAGATCGAGATCCAGGAGGGGATAAGAGGGAAAGAGCCAGATCTGGAGGGGAGTAAATCTCAACTTACCGACATCCGGAGCACCAGAGTTGCCGGGGGCCCGGCGAGGTCGACGACGGTGACGAATGAGACGACGAGGTGGACGACAAGGCTACATCAACGGGGCAAGATAAAAGACGAGGCTGTGCCGAGTGCCCGTGGCGGCCAGCAGTGGCTCTAGATGCCACCGGAGGGTGAGAAGAAGAGAGGAGACACCACCGGAGAGGGAGACAGAGAGAGGAGAGAGCCGCTCGTAGAGGTTAGAGTGAGAGACATGAGAGAGAGGGAGTTGGAAACAAATGAGCTAGGGTTTCGTCGATACGGGGCGGCGTGGGAACGCTGGCTTATATAGTCGACCCATCCATCGGTCGGATCCAACGGTCATGAAGGATCTGGGGGAGGAGATCAACGGCCCTCCTTTGCTGGATCCGTGCCAAGGCCGTGCCGCTTAGTGGGCGGGTGGGCGAGGTGGCGGGCTGCAGCACGCCATGCCAGCGCCGCGTGCCGCGCGCGGCCGGCACGAACGGCCGGGCGGGCCGGGGGCCGTGCTTTTTAGTGCCATGCCTGTGCCGGCCCACCGTGTTAGTGCCATTTGGAAAAGTATACTGGTGGGCGCCGCTCTTTTTTCTGCTGCCATTTTTCATTTTATAGCGAAAAAATAACATTAACATCGCTTTTTATTATTTTCCGCCTCCAAACTACACCAAAGCAGTTGTTCCTCGTCGTCTCCGCCTCTTCTCCCAAATCGGGCCAGCAAGCCACCGCTCTTCGCCCCCCTCCACTTCACCGCCGCCGCCGCCGCCTAGATCCATCTCCGCCTCCAGGAACCCGCGTTCCCCTAGTCCCCGCGGACCGGCGCCGAGCCGGCGGAGTTAGCGGCGGTAGGGTTGCGGCTGGGAATTGATTGCGGAGAGAGAGAGAGTAAGGGCGGGCAGCGGTGGCGCCTGGCATGGCGGGGGCGCCCGGGGTCGGGCCGGGCGCGGGGGCGGGGGCGGGGGGCGGCGGCGCCGCGGCGGGGCTCAAGACCTACTTCAAGACGCCCGAGGGGAGGTACAAGCTGCGGTACGAGAAGACGCACTCAGCGGTGCTGCACTACAGCCACGGCGGCAAGACCGTCTCGCAGGTACGGATGGGAAGTGTGCTTCTGCTAGGGGATCTACGCTGGCTGCTGCGGTGGATGGATGCTTTTGGTTGGCTTTTCATCACTGCTAATAGGATTTTGATTGGGATTTAGGATCCGTTTGAGGCAAATTTACGGAACGGAAGTGATCATAGAATTATGCGCTTGGTACTACAGAATAGAGTCATCTTAAGCATTTTGGACGGTTTAGTTTAGCTGTTGGTTCGTTGGACGCTTCATCAGTGAAGTTGTGGTTCTGTTTGGTTTCAGTATAAATAAATGGAAGCTTTATGTTAGTGAAGACCTTTGTTGGTTTATTTCTCTATTCTGCCATACGTTTTGGACTTCTACAGTTTGATAATAAGTTTATGTTCTGATTGGGAAATGATTTACCATGGCCATTGCTTTGCATTTTTTTATCACAGTTGACAGTGGCATACCTCAAGGAGAAGCCTGCTAGCCAGGGCTCCCAGCCATCGACACCAAGCTCCAGCAGTGGGATGCGGTCTGCGGCAGCAAGGCTGCTGGGCACTGGGAACGGGAGCAAGGCACTTAGCTTTGGCGGCGGCAATGGCGCGAACCGGGCTGTTGCTGGAAGCAGCCGTATAGGAGGAGGAGGCCTTGGTACATCTACAGGCCTTGGTGGATCACAAGGGGCCACAAATTATGATGGAAAGGGTACATATATTGTATTCAATGCTGCTGATACACTATTCATCAGCGATCTCAATTCTCAGGAGAAGGTATTCAGTCATTTTACTGGATGCAAGCTACGCACAGTTTTTGGTGTCTTGCTCTTTTCTGATCATCTGTTTACTTGCACTAGGATCCACTAAAGTCCATCCATTTCAGCAACTCAAACCCACTGTGCCATGCATTCGACCCAGAGGCCAAAGAGGGGCATGACCTGATCATTGGGATGGGATCAGGGGATGGTTAGTGGAGATGATTAGTTGAGCCCTGTTATGCTTCAAACTGGCCTGTGCATAAGCATGAGATCTTCATTTTCATTTCTTTTATGGTCTGTTCTGCAGTTTATTCAATGTCGCTGAGGCAACAGTTACAAGATCCTGGAAGAAAACCCGTGGCAGCTCTACATTACAATAAGGGTGATAAAGATGTCTCACCCAATGGAAGGTATGATTGAATTTTTCATTATTAATTTGAATGACATACCTGATACGTATGATCGAGTGATCAACATTGTTCATACATATTCTAGATTACATGTTTTTTATTACTGTTCTGTGATTTAGCGTATCAGATTCAGACATGATCAAGGTAGCATAGGTAAATGTCTGTTAATATGGATACATGAACCCATCATTCTTATGTGGTTTTAAGTTCAGAAATTCAGAATTCAGATATGAGGCTAAGTTTAGTAGCTAGCAAAGTTACCTGCATCCACCATGATTCTCAGCCTTTTTTAGCTTTCTACTCTAGAGTTCTGACATAAATGTGTACTTCAGCAATGCTATGAATCTAATCTTAGTGGAGCCAGTTCTTCTTGTCCTTCACAGCATTGTGGTAAAGCAATGGGTTCTATGTCTATATATATTCCTCGACTGTGCTTTCAAGGAGCACTTTCGAAGCCCAAACTTGTTTTTGTTGCCTGAAGCAATCTTATTTTGAAGTTTGGATAATTTAATTCTTTGCATGCTCATCCTCTGGTGAAAAAAAAGCAGCTGCTTGCATGCCTTTGAATCCTTAAACTTGTTTGCTAGTGAAAGTAAAGAGAGTTTTCTTAACTGGCTTCTCTGGAACTTCTTTCAGTGGCACCCAAGCTATCTAAAGCTTGATATCGGTGCAATATAAGCATAATGTTGTTTTGTTATAGTCCATGTGGATGCCTATCTTATTCTATTTATTTAACTTAGTTCTCTAATGAAGATTTGGATATTAATGTTTTGCAGTAGGTGCACTTCTGTCGCATGGGTGCCAGAGCGTGAAGGCATTTTCGTCGTTAGCCATTCTGATGGAAATTTGTACGTGTATGATAAAGTGAGCAGCTGCTAGTTATAGAGTTTGATAATAATTTGGCAAACTTTATTTTGGACTTTTGGTTGATTTTGAATTGATGTTCTATCTTTTGTTGTTTTCAGAACAAGGATGGGAACACAGACTGTACGTTTCCAGCTGTGAAGGATCAATCCCAGTTTATGGTTGCACATGCAAAGTCGAGTAAGGTATTTTAGGTTCTTCCGTGACTGCTTTCCTGAAGTCCATTACTTTGGTGAAGCAAGATGCTTTAGCCATTAGCATCAGTTAATGTTATAACATGTGTTCTTTTTGGTTGTTGGTATTAGAGAATGGCTCAACCCTTCAGCTCTATGCAGCATTGAGCATTCTGTTATATACTAAACAGTGATAGCTACCATATTACTTTTCCTGTCAAAGTTGCACGTAATGACACAAATCTCAAGTATTTAAGAGAGCACTCCGTTAAAATGATTCCAGGTGCCGAGTACCGATGCTTAAGTGACTGAACTAAAATATAAAAGTTGTCCTTTAGGAGCGTTAATTTTTTACTTAATTGATTTATGCGTGCATTTCAGTGTTTGCTCCTAGCATTCAGCAACATTTTTGGTAGAACACTATACTTTTGTACTACCTCCAGCAGTGGGATGCTGTCTGTCTTGAACACTATACTTTTGTACTACCTCCACCTGGGCAGTGTTATTGGTTTTGACCACTAGATGTAGAATCTTTTGTTCTACAAGAACTTTATGGTTCTATGAGTTTACTTGTTAGAGTATAAAAAGGGCAGACCCAGTGAAAAACCGAGGCAAGCCTTCCCCCCACAAAATCTGCGGAGAGGCTGCTTCGAACCCACGACCTGGTGACTCAGTGAGACAGCTCTCACCACTGCACCAGGCCTGCCCTTCTTACTTGTTAGAGTATCTTGTAAATATTCCTGCTTGACATTTGACTAGAAGAGTTTTGATCAAGGTATAGAACATGATTGGCCTTGAAAATGTGGCAACATAATTAACTGGGATTTATGTCATGAATAACATTGCAGAGCAACCCAGTCGCTAGATGGCATATATGTCAAGGTTCGATCAATGCAATTTCCTTTTCACCAGATGGCGCATACTTGGCGACTGTTGGGAGAGATGGTACTTGCTTTGCCCTAGGCATCTCAAGTTTTTTTACTTCATCATAGGATCCACTGATTTTCTTTCTTCTTAAACTAACATTGATAAACAATATGCAGGTTATTTGAGAGTTTTCGATTTTTCAAAGGAACAACTAATATTTGGTGGAAGAAGTTATTATGGTGCACTGTTGTGTTGCACTTGGAGGTAAATGTGAATGACTTGTGTAGTTTGATTTGTTTGGGAAATATACCCACCTATGTGTTTCCCTTGTTATGCTCTCTATCTTCTATCCACGTTTTTTATGTTTTGTGGTACTTGCTAGTCATGACCCATGCTTGTGCTGTTTGACAACTAAGTTTGCTGACTGCTCCTGCTCAGCCTCAATTCTCAAAGCTTAAAATATGTTGCTACTAAACTTCTGATCACTGGTTGGCTTCCATCTGCCCTCGGTTGTTCATGCTTAACAGGTGTCTTTTTTAGTCATGTGATTCACAACACTTTTGTAGCATGGCTTCTTCATACAATTCATTTTTTTTTTGCTCGGCACCATGGTCTAATATCCCAGTTTCAGTAAAGTTGCATTGCCTCATTCATTTGATCTCTACATAAATACTTCACTGGCCTATGTATCTGCAAATGTTTTATCACTGTTATATGGGTTTGTCACACAAAATAACATTTCAGCCTCTAACCTATTTATTGTTCTGTCTACAGCTCAGATGGAAAATATCTATTAACAGGTGGTGAAGATGATCTTGTGCAGGTATGGGGCATGGATGATAGAAAGATAGTTGCTTGGGGTGAAGGACATAATTCATGGGTAATAGTTTCGGCTGCCTTAAATTTTCTCAGTGTCTCTTGTCAAATCTTGTTCATTGAGAATGATATTTTTCTTCTGGTGGCAGGTTAGTGGAGTTGCTTTTGATTCATATTGGTCCCCACCAAGTTCTGATGGAAATGGAGAAAATGTCTATCGCTTTGGTTCTGTTGGTCAGGTATGCCTAGTTTATATAGCTAGAACTGTAGTTTGAGTTTTGAAATATTACAGCACAACCTATGTATGTTCAAAACATATGGGAATTGTTGCAAGCTCTAAACCTAACTATGTTTATAGAAGGCTAAGATACTGGATTTTGTTAATAAAAACAATAATGCCACCTGAAATTGGAAGACCAGCCTTTCCATTTTCTTGCCTTGTTGGTTTATTTTGAGACCTAATATTAATGGAGCTGTGGGCAGATTTCTCAGTGCACTATTGAAATGTGTGGGACTGATCAATTTGCTTTATTTTCTTGAGATCAGGGATAAGAGTTACTTCTTCTTTTCAGTACTGATGGGGTTATTTTCTTATGACTTCTAAAATAATTTATGTTTATTTAAGTAAACATAAGTATTGGGCAGCTATTTTCCTTCTTGTATTCCTGTTTGGCATGGAGTTATTTGTCTAGAACTTTTGGATCGGATATCATTTCTTGAGCATACTACTATATGCTTAAATATAACCACATGACAAGCTTTAGATTGCAAGTTGGCATTTTGCTTGCAACATGATTTATTGCTGGCGTAAATTTTCACTGTTACATACTTGTAGGACACCCAACTACTTCTGTGGGACCTGGCACTGGATGAGATTGTTGTCCCGCTACGGCATCCTTCAAGTGCCTCACCGACGTTTAGCAGCGGGAGCCCTTCCGCGCACTGGGACAATGCATGTCCTCCAACAGGTGTTCTTCAACCATCTCCTAGAATGCGAGATGTCCCCAAACTCTCGCCCCTTGTTGCCCACCGAGTACATGCTGATCCCCTATCAGGTCTGGTGTTCACCAATGAATCAATCCTCACCATCTGCCGTGAGGGCCTCATCAAAATCTGGGTTCGACCAGACCAGAGCGAAAACAATCAACAATCAAATTCTTCAGAATTTGTTTTAGGCCCTGTTTCAAAGGATAGGGCGATCACATCTTCGAATAAAGCAAGTAGCTCCAGCTTCAAGAAGCCGTCGTCTGTTCTTGTCACATGACGAATCAACGGGATGATTCTTGCGGGTATTTCTGCTTAACGTGGCATAAGTGGATATGGATCTTACTTATTCCATGATTGATGGGCGTGAAACTTCAAGTGGAAGCTGCAAGTTTGAGGGTGAGCATTTGTTTGTAGATGTTCCCAGGAAGCAGGGCTAGTGTTGCCGGTTTTGTGGCACGAAAGAATAATGGGATATGCTCTTGTACAGACACATAAAGTTGTATAAATTCACTGTGTCCGTTCCATAGTATTCAATACCCACCAAAAGATGATTGGACGACCATGTATCCATTTTAGCTGGTGGATATGGTATCCTTAGGCTTTGTTACTTCTAGGAGGCTTGTAATTATGAATCCTAATATCTAAGGAATGCTTCAGTCTTACCTGTAAGTTGTGTTACTATTTCTTTCTGCATTTTGTCAATTATTAGTGGAAAACCATCACCATACTTGTATATTGTTTTTATACGATGTTGACGTGTGATTGATTTGTGATGCTTTAGGCCCTGTTTAGCATGGACTTAGCTCTTTGTTACAGTATGTGGAGGAATTGGAAACAGGGTTGGCTAAGCCACGGTTCCTAGTTCATTTTGAAAATAAGATAAAAGCAACAATACTATAAGTCTATAAGTTTACTTTAAGGATTGAATAGATTTGACGTTTTGAACCTGGCGGCGTTACAGTGTGTCTATTTTTTGTGTGGTCGAATGTCAACATTTTTTAGATACACATGTAAATTTGCGCACACTCAGCCCTTAACACAAAATCATTTTTTTTCTTTTTTGATATATAATAGTATTATATCACTAGTAGTTTCAAATGTTTAGTCGGATGTACAATTTCAAGAGTTCCGATAGAAAGAGGTGTGGGATTGGATGAAGAACCATATGACCAGAACCAGAACATATTTTGAAAAGTTTAGCGCATTAGTTAGTACACCAGGATTTATCGTAATGCGAATTTGCATGAGTTAGGACCCGCTTGGATACAAGAGAATTAGCTAAAACTAAACACATCCAAACATTTTTTTTTTGAAGAGCTACCAGCAAGAATTTTGCCGGGCATGTATTGATAAAGGAGAAGGTTACAAAGAAACAACACTACAAACTCACAACGACAACCACCAAAGAAACCCAAGCACTGACGACGAAGGATCACCCTATGTGAGTAAGGCGAGCTTTTGTTGGGGGAGAGGGTTCTCAACAATGATGCCTCCAAGGAGGTTGCGACGTCCTTAGACGCCGCCATCATCAACCGAAAGACCGGCACTATGTTTTTCAACCAAGAGAAACTCAGGAGATGGGGGACCTCACGACAATGCCTCCAACGAGAAACATGATGCAAAAAGCAACACCATTGCTGGATCGACAGAGTCGAGGAGGGCTTTCGCCCGAAAATCCCCCAAATCCTAATCGAACCCCCAAAACAAAAGGCCCTCCATTGCCGCACCAAACTAGACCACGCCATGCGAGGCTAGCCACCGATGCAATGTCCGCAGAAAGCCGCCGTTAGTGGGAAGATGCTGCTATGCTGAACAAGTCACAGGCATGCGTGACTTGTCCCCATGGCGCCAGCTTCAAAGCCGCCACTATCCCACCAAACACCGGACATCCACGTATGGCCACATCAAAGTTGATGCTGGTGAACCAACAAGCTTGCAGCCATCGTTGTCGAATCCCCACACCGACAGCCAGCCACGAAGAGCCGCCTACAACTGGTTGTCGCAGTTGCAGAAGACTGGTCGCAGACATGCGCGACCATCCACCGCAGCGCCAGTCCAAAAGGACCGCAGCCAACCGAGTCGTCACCAACTCCATGCAGATCGCCGAAGAAGAGAAACATCAACCATGTTGCTCGCCGAGGAGCCCGCCGTAGCCGCAGCAGTGAACCCACCCCTCGTCGCCGAACGTCGTCGATTGACCGGAACTGGCCGTCCCACCAGACCCTGTTAGTCAGCTAGCTAGCCAAGGCATTGCAGCGTTCATTGTGATTCCTTTGGGGCAAACTATGAACTCTGTGTTTGTGAAAGCCACATGGTGTCAAGCTCACTAGGTAATTGAAGTCGAGTCTATGGTTCATCTAGCAGCAAGCATCATTGCCAATTGCCACAAGGTCACCTATCTCTCTGACAACCAGAGCCCGGTCTCCTACCTCCACTCTCCTAAAGTGATCTCTAAACCTCTGTGGACTATTAAGCCAGATACAGAAGGATTAAAAAATCTCAGTTACAACAATGCTTACCAAGTCAGGAAGATCCATAGGCAGGGGAGGAGCTGCAGTATAAGAGCATCCACAGTGTATCGAACCAACCCCGTTCCTACAGCGAGATGTGACTTCACCTGATAAATTCCCCACAATGTATAGAGCCGGACCCGACCCTATAAGTGGGACCCACATGGAATAAAAAAACTCATAATCCCTCAACTATCTTCTTTCTCCCGTAGCATCCCCTCCCTCTGTCAAAAATGCGTCGGCTCCCTCCGCCTCTTCCATCCGTGCCGCCGAAATCCCCCTCCCCCGCCACCTCCTCCATCCTCGCGCGGCAAGGCAGTGGCGTCTCCTCCTCCTCCTCCTCCTCCTCTCTCTCTCTCACTCTCTCACTCTCTCTGAAAGGTCCTAATATGGCTAGAGGGGGTGAATAACTTATTTAAAAATTCTACAAGACATTAGAGCAATTGATTAGTAACACAAATGGCGTAATGCAATTTTGCTCTAGCTTTACAAGGGTTGCAAGCCATCTATCCCAATAATTCTAGTTGCTATGATCACTAGGCACACATAAGAGTTAAATCACTACTCACTAAGCTAGTGTGCTCTCAAATACTAACTAAAGAGCCACACTAACCAAACTAACAAGCTCTCTAGGATTAGCTACACTAAAGAGCTTGGCAACTAGTTTACAAGAATGTAAAGAAGGGGATATGATGATTATACCGCCGCGTAAAGGAATGAACCAATCATAATATGTTGTCAATCCAATCACCGGGAGAAATCCAATCACACAAGAGACACAAGATTTTTCTCCCGAGATTCACGTGCTTGCCGGCACGCTAGTCCCCGTTGTGTTGTCCAACACTTGGTGGTTCGGTGGCTAAGAGGTGTTGCACAAACCTTGTCCAACAAATAGACACCGCAAGAACCTACCCATAAGTGAGGTAACTCAATAACACGAGTAATCCATTAGAGTTATCTTTCGGCTCTCCGCTGAAAAAGGTACAAGACCCCTCACAATCACCGGAGCCGGCCATGAACAATAGCCAACATGTGCCAAAGCTCCTCCGCTGCTCCAAGCCGTCTAGGTGGCGGTAACCACCAAGAGAAATAAGAAATCCACAGCCACAACGATCCCCAAGTGCCACTAGATCCAATCACTCAAGCAAATGCACTTGGAATCACTCCCAATCTCACTATGATGATGAATCAATGATGGAGATGAGTGGAAGGTGTTTGCTTAGGCTCACAAGGATGTCAAGTATGTCAAAGTGCCAAGAGAGGGAGCCCAAGGCCGGCCATGGTCTATTTAAAGACCCCAAACGAAATAGAGCCGTTAGGCACAAGAGGGGGCTCCTGCGCAACGACCAAACTCGCTGGTTGGGATGTCCGGACGCGTCCGGTGCATTGTTGCAATAGCCTGCGATGCAAGTTGCAGTAGCACCCGATTGAAGTTGCAGTAGCGTCCTGTCATTGTTGCAGTAGCGTCCGGTCGCAGATTATTTGAATTCGACCGTTGGCGCCCAACGGTCCTCTCGTTGTAGTAGCGTCCTGTCATTTGTTGCAGTAGCCTCCGGTCATTTGTTGCAGAGTATTCGCTAATGGTGCACTATTAAGTCACTATAGCCCAACTGCCACACCATCATCCTGGGCACGAGAACCCAACGATGAGAACTACATGGTGCTTGCGATACATCATATTTGTGTCAGTTAAGTACATATGGAACATTTAATTACTGTGATCTTCATTTTGATTCTTATGATAATATAACGTACGGGCATGACCCCAGTGTTCTCTGATGTCCAGTTAGACATGCCTTCTTTTCTCATGTTTTTTAGAGCTCTTTTGAGCTCCTGAAAGTAAGATGCTCCTAAGTCTTAACGAAGCTTTTATAAAAAGAACTTCAGTTAACTTGAGCTAATTTTTAGCTCAAACTAGTAGCTAGCTCAAGTGATCCAAACACACCGTTAATAGAACACATAAAATGAAACATTCTCGCATTTTGTATCTCTACCATAAGGATATGACTACTGCCACACAATATTAGCAATCAAACATAATTTTACCAAATGCGACTGTCTGTAGCTCTTTGTATGACAACCAAACACCAAATATTGCACCGCGCTTACATTGATTTAGATTGTGTTGCACAAGGTCTAATGCATGCTAAAATTAATGTAAGCAACTATTCTAGTACTAAAAAATAATTTGAATATAAAGGTCAGGCTTGACCCCTCGATCTTATTCTAAAAAACAATAGGATTTATATAGGAAGTCTAAAATTTATTTGCATCATGTCTTTCCTACGCAAATTCGTTACGAATTGGATCGTATGAGGACAATCAGCCTGATGGGTAGGGGGGAGTATATAAATATAAATGATATCTATACTATGTAGCGTGCCCGTGCGTTACTACATGACAACTAAATTTTTGTACTAAAAACACACAGATCGCACGATAAGATAACAATACTGTAAAATTAAATATGCACGTTAATCTAAAAAGCAAAGTTCGTGAAATTAACAGTCACGCAGAGCACAACATTGTCTGTTATACGCTTAAGATAGTCTTGTGGCTCTACATGAGTTGAAATTATCCTAGAATTCCCGTCATAAGCCAACAACTAGATTACAAAGTCCATTCGTAGCCTTCGACCATCCTGTGCAAAGTCAGATATAGTATTATAGATTGATGATCAACATATTAGGTTTTAGACTAAACTGTGGTGGACCAAAACATGCAAGACTGAGAGAAATATCTTCAAATAAAAATGCAAAATTGATTT